AATTTTTTTTTTTTTTTGTATTTTTAGTAGCGATGGGGTTTCACCGTGTTAGGTAGGATGATCTCTATCTCCTGACCTCATGATCCGCCCGCCTCGGCCTCCCAAAGTGCTGGGATTACAGGCGTGAGCCACCGCGCCCAGCCTTTTTTTTTTGAGACAGGATTTTGCTCTTGTCGCCCAGGCCAGAGTGCAATGGCACAGTCTCTGCTCACTGCAACCTCTGCCTCCTGGGTTCAAACGATTCTCTTGCCTCAGCCTCACGAGTAGTTGGGATTAGAGGCATGTGCCACTACGCCCGGCTAATTTTTATTTTCTTAGTAGAGACAGGGTTTCACCAGGTTGACCAGGCTGCTCTCAAACTCCTGACCTCAGGTGATCCGCCTGCCTCAACCTCTCAAAGTGCTGCTATTACAGGCGTGAGCCACTGCGCCCAGCCACGGAACCTGGGGATTGTTAAGGCCCCAGTGTGGGCTCTCAGCAGCACTCTTTCCCTGGAAAACAGGGAAGAGACAGGTTATGCGGAGGAAAGTGGGCATGTGGGAAGGGCACAGCTAGACAGCTCCCTTACATAGATAGAGGGACAGGGCCCTCTCAACAGATGGCCTGGCCACTGTCCCTGGCTGGGCAGTGCATGCATTTAGGTTAAGAGAGGAGACTCCGGGTTCAGGCTTATGTCCAAGTCCTGGTGCTTCTGCTTCCTAGCTCCCTTGGGCACATTACTCGCCAGTTCTAGCCTTGGTTTCCTAACTGGAAAGTGGGGGGTTAGTATGTGTGAAGTGCTTCGAACAGCGTTGGCTGGGCACGGTGGTTCATGCCTGTAATTCCAGCACTTTGGGAGGCCAAGGTGGGCAGATCACCTGAGGTCAGGAGTTCGAGACCAGTCTGGCCAACATAGTGAAACCCCGTGTCTATTAAATATACAAAAATTAGCGGGGTGTGGCAGCGTGCACCTGTAATCCTAGCTACTTGGGAGACTGAGGTAGGAGAATTGCTTGAACTCGGGAGGCAGAGGTTGCAGTGAGCCAAGATCACACCACTGTACTCCAGCCCAGGGACAGAGCCAGAATCTGTATCAAAAAAAAAAAAAAAAGTTGGGCACAGTGGCTCATGCCTCTAATCCCAGCACTTTGGGAGGCCGAGGCAGGTTGATCACTTGAGGTCAGGAGGAGTTTGAGACCAGCCTGGCCAACATGGTGAAACCCCATCTCTACTAAAAATACAAAAAATTAACTGGGCATGGTGGCTGGCACCTGTAATCCCAGCTACTTGGGAGGCTGAGGCATGAGAAACGCTTGAACCCAGGAGGTAGAGATTGCAGTGGGCCAAGATCTAGCCACTGCACTCCAGCCTGAGTGACAAAGCGAGACTCTGTCTCAAAGAAAAAAAAAAATGTGTCTGGCACACAGAAAATGCTTGATGAAGGTAAGCCATTATTGTTGCTGCTATTGAGAAGCAGGAACTTGAGAAAGGGGCTTTGAGCTACGCCACCCCATCCCCTTCCCCAACCCCTGCTGCTGGAGTTCCAAGAGCCTGTTCCATCAAGAATCCTGAATTGCGCATGCACACACACACACACACACACACACACACACACACAGAGATACATGCTCACTCACTCACATGCTCTCACGCTGGCTTTTTCCATCCATGAAATGTGACACTCTTCCTGTCCCCAGCAGCCCCATGTTGACAAGAGGGCCTCAGAGCTGGTGGCTCTGGTTCTCTTTTCCTGGGGGGAGACTTCACCGTCCTGGCAGGAGTTGGGTGGAGCCCTTCCCCAAGTGTAAGCAGCACCCCTTGTTTCTGGATCCCAGGTTCAGGTGGTGAGGCCTCTCCTTCCCACACGTGCCTGGTGTATCCACCCCTCCTCCCCCAGAACCCCAGCTGATCCCTGCCAATCTCTTCTGGGCTGCCTGGCGCCCGCCCCCTGCCCTGGGGCCAGATCCTTCCCCGGCTACCCCTGCCCCACCGGCTCTGGCAAGCCAGGCCCCTTTGTTCCTGCAGTCTAGGTTCTTCCTGACTTCCTGAGGTGGTGGGAGGAGAGGGCCTTACCTGCCTGCTGTCAGTCTGGCCACCAGGTGAAAAGTGTAAGCTGCAGACCCTCAGGGAGCTAAAACTCACCCTAAGTGAGCTAAGACCATGATGAGCACCGCGGTGTGGGTCTTGCCTCTGTGGCTCGGAGGCCAGAGAGGAAAGGAGAAATCAGAGAAAGCTTCGTAGAGGTGGAAGGGACGTCATTGTCACTGGCCCTGGGACCTGGAGGAAAGTTAGAGAAAGGAGACATATGCTGGGTGTGGTGGCTCATGCCTGTAATCCCAGCACTTTGGGAGGCCGAGGTGGGCAGATCGGTTGAGGCCAGGAGTTCCAGACCAGCCTGAGCAACATGGCAAAACCTCGTCTCCACTAAAAAATTTAGCCGGGCATGGTGGTGTGCACCTGTAGTCCCTCCTAGCTACTCGGGAGGCTGAGGTGGGAGGATCACCTGAGTGCAGGAAGTTGAGGCTGCAGTGAGCCATGATTGTGCCTCTGCACTCCAGCCTGGGCAACGGGAGTGAAATTGGGTTCCCCTGCCCAAAACAAAAAACAATAACAAGAAAGAGGACACAGAGGGAGCCATGGTAGCATGGGAGGAACCCAGCAAGGAGAGACCCCCCCAGTTGGAGGAGGGCCCCCATGATGGAGAGGGATGAGTATATCACCCGCCAGATCAGAGAGGGCCTTGAATGCCAGGCCAAGGCATTTGCTTCTCATTAATCAGCACCAGTAATACCTCTTTTTGTTGTTGTTGTTGTTTTAAGACAGAGTCTCACTCTGTCACCCAGGCTGGAGTGCGGTGGTGCGATCTTGGCTTACTGCAACCTCCACCTTCTGGGTTCAAGCAATTCTCCTGTCTCAGCCTCCCGAGTAGCTGGGACTACAGGCACATGCCACCACGCCCAGCTAATTTTTGTATTTTTAGTAGAAATGGGGTTTCACCATGATGGCCAGGCTGTTCTTGAACTCCTGATTTCAGGAGATCCGCCCTCCTCAGCCTCCCAAAGTGCTGGGATTATGGGTGTGAGCCACTGTGCCTGGCCTTCAGTAATACCTCTTCATGTGTGCCGAGTATCCCAATAAGGATTTTACATGCCTGATCTCATTTAATTACTCCAGCAGCCCTGAGAAGTAGGTACTGTTATTATCCCTGCTTTCCAAGGGGGAAACTGAGCCTCAGAAGGGATAGGGACTTGCCCCAGGTCACAAGGCTATGAAGGAGCAGAGCTAGGATTCTAACCAGGCAGGCTAGCTCCAGACTCCTCAATTCTCAGAGAACACAGCTTCAAAGTGTGCTCTGGGAGGGGCTTCCCCAGGGCTCCCTGAGATGCTCTCTGGGGAGTTATTTCCAGAAGGTTCTGTTGCAGAGGCAGGCCACACTGCAGAGCATGAGAGAGGTTCCTTGTTAAAAATGGAGGAATGGCTGCCCTGGCCAAAGGTCGGGAGTGGAGCAGTGGATTTCAAGTGAGTTTCCACTCTGGGCTGACTCATTGGTTGTAACAGCCTCAAGCATAGTGTTGGGAGAATCTAGAACCATGTGATACTCAGCAGGAAAGACTGGGATAGATTAGCAATGTCTGTCCTGGGTTAGGCATGGAGAGCAGGGACCTGTGAGCCATGTATTTGCTGTCCCTGGGCTAATGTGTATCATTGGCCAGAGAGATCTTCCTGGTGGTCAACATTCAGAGTAAATTCTTCCTTCCATGCCCTCTAAAGCCAGAAACTCAGTCCTATAATTCAGGGTGTAGACACCTCTCCTGTCTACAGCACATGCTTCATGACACGTTGGTCAGTGTATTTGTCTGTTTCATGTTGCTGTAAAGAAGTACCCATGGCTGGGTAATTTCTCAAGAAAAGAGGTTTATTTGGCTCACAGTTCTGTAGGCTGTACAAGCATACCACCAGCATCTGTTCTGCTTCCAGTGAGGCCTCAGAAAGCTTTGATTAATGGCAGGCATGTCATATGGTGAGAGCTGGAGCAAGAGAGACGAAGAAGTACAAGGCTCTTTTAAACAACCAGCTCTCCGCTGGGCACAGTGGCTCATGCCTGTAATCCCAGCACTTTGGGAGGCCGAGGCATGTAGATCATTTGAGGTCAGGAGTTTGAGACCAGCCTGGCCCAACATGGTGAAACCCCGCCTCTATTAAAAATACAAAAATTAGCTGGGTGTGGTGGCGAGTGCCTGTAGTCCCAGCTACTCAGGAGGCAGAGGTTGTAATGAGTTGAGATCGTGGCACTGAAACAAA